GTGTGTGTGTGTGTGTGTGTGTGTGTGTTTACTGCCTTGATCTGAGGTCAAAATCATGTATGAATCTGGGACTATATACCTCTTTCCTGTTCATTCAATAATTAGTTTTTGAGTTCCTAGTGTATATACACTCCGATTTAATTTTCCCACTGTAGCTAGACTTTGTGAAAGAGAGAAAAATGTGTTCAGAAGAAAGACCTTTATTCTCTGCGACTTGGTTACAGAGGGGATGGAAACCTGATGAAGGAAGTGTCAGGTGGCTGGCAGGTAGAAGAATGGGTGGGGTTTCTTGGAAAGGATTCCCCGAGAGGGGGGCCTCCTGTTCCACTGGCGTAGGGGTCAGGCAGACCACCTGGCCTTGGAATGAAAACGTTACTCGTTTGGTGCCAAATCTCCATTTTCTGTCTCTGAGGTTATCTCAAAAACGGAAAGACCTGTATCTCTTCCCTTCCAAGGCTAAGGGGAGAATAAATTTAAAAACGCCGATGAAGCTTTTGAGCTTCTGAGCAGACGGGTCATAGCCAGAGGCAGGCTGACGTGTTGTCACCTGGCTCCAGGGACAGAGCTGTGCCTGAAGGCACTAACTCTGCTCACTGCTGGGGCTTGGTGTGCTCTTTCATGGTGAGCAAGACAAGGGCAGAACCTTCTTCTGTGTTCTCCCATCTTCCACGGTGGAGCTGGGGAAAACCCCTGGAGTGTGACTCCAGCCCAGCTCCTGAGCAGCTGTGTTGTGAACGTGAGCGCTCCCCAGGCTGGGGAAATCTCCCTTTGGAGACCCCCCAGCAGGTTGCCCCTGTCGGGTGACGGCTTCGTCCCCACTCTAGTTTGATGGCTTGCCCCTGGAGGAGGAGGTGCTGGATGGCGATGGGTCCCTGGAGAAGGAGCTTGCCATTGACAACATCATCGGGGAGAAGATGGAGATCATCGCACCCGTGACCTCCCCTTCGCTGGACTTCAATGACAACGAGGACATCCCCACCGAGCTCAGTGACTCTTCCGACACCCATGATGAAGGTGGGCATTGGAAAATGGGTGTGCAGCGTGGCCCTTCCTCTCTCCATTTTGAAGGCTAATGGGATGTCGTGTAGGAAGGCTGGAGTCCGTGTCTGGGCTTCCAGTGGAAGGGCGGGTGGGTAACAGAGCCTTTTTTTTTTTTTTTTTTT